ATATATATATATATGTATATATATACATATATATGTACACATATACATACATATACATATATATGTATATATACATATATACATACATATATATATATACATATATACATATATATGTATATATACATATACATACATATACATATATATATGTCATGCTTATCACGTGTCAGGAGCATTTAACATGATTTAACCCTTACAACTTAATGAGGTAGGTACTATTATTCCCATTTTTTTAGATAAGGAAACTAAGGCTTATAGCCTATCCAAATTGATAGCCACCAGCAACACATGGTTATTGAAATTAATTAAAATTAAATTTAAAAACTCAGCTCATCAACAGTAATTTTTGTTGTTGTTTTGTTTATCTTTGCTATAGGGTTCATGTATTTCCCAGAAAGAAAGGGATAAATCACCCCCCAAAGGGGATGGACAGGTTACAATCCCTTCTCTATTCTCCTCTCAGGATTTTGGGCACACATGTACACATGCCTAGCATGATTTTCCAGCAGGCATGATTATCAAGCCGCCAGGTCCAGGACTTAAGCCACTCAGTCAGTTGTGTGGGACGCAGCCACTTTAACCTTCATACTACCTACCAGCCCAATAAGCTGTATTTTAAGTGTTCAACAGCTAGATGTGACCAGTGTACTGGAAAGCACAGATATAAATAATTTTCTTCATCACAGAAAACTCTATTAGCCAGAATTACTTACTGTCTGAGTATAAATAATTTGGTACAGTCCCAAAGCAAGTGATACAGAGTCAACCTTATATGTTTATCTACACACATGTCCTTAAAGAGTTGAGACTGGGGCTGGCAGGTGGCATGGTTAGGGGTGCTGGACTCATACATGGCTGACCACAGTTTGAGTCCCGGACCTGGCAGCTTGCTTTCTCACTTTCCCTCTCTCTCTGTCCCTCTCTGGTCAAATTAAGGTAGGTAAAAAAATAAATAAAGTTAAATAAAATAATTCTTTAAAAAAAAAGAATTGAGATCATCCAATAACTAAAATTGTGTGTTTGCCTGTAATACTCATCTTCAGTATTTCCATTTAATTATATAAACTTTTAATTGACACAAAAAATAAAAGTTTATCATGATTTACTTAATCATCTGCATTTTACTACAAATTTTTCAACAATATAAATAAACGTCTGTTCTCATTTTACATAGGTATGTAGAAATAATACATGATCTGAGAAAATTAAAATTAGTTTTCAAACTAAATTCCAAAAGGTCTAGTTATTATTCCAAAGACAGAAACCTCATTAACTTAAAGAAGGCCATCCTTGGGACCAGCAGTTAGTGTAATGGCTATGTTGCTGGACTCCCACGTAGTTGACCACGGTTCAAGTCCCGGACCCGGTGGCTTAAACTCACACCGGGCACGTGTGCATGCGTGCCCAGGATCCCAAGAGGAGAATGGAGGAGAAGGGATTGTGGCATGGCCAACCCCCCCGGGGGGTGATTTCTCGCTTCTGTCTCTCCATCTGTCTGGCGAGCGCACACGCCCTATAGCAAAAACCTCTTAAAAAAAAAAAAAAGGCCATCCTTTATTATTTTATACTAAATAAGCACCTACAGTTTGAAATTTTGAAAGATGTTTTTTAACTGTCAAGAACTGTGGAGTATGAGCAAAATTTTTTAATATTTAAAGTAAATGTGGAGAAATATAAAATTAAATTAATTTTTTAAAAGAAATTGAAATAAAGTAATTAAAAATAAAAGAAAATACACAGAAACATTAAAAAAACAAATTCTGAATTTTCAAGATGACCTTCATTCTTTTATATTTAAAAATTCATATAATATACATGGGAAGACAGAGCCTCAAATAAAAGACAATATACTGTGTTCAGTTTTCAAAATAACTATCTAAGCATACATTCAATACCTTGCTCTCTCAATGGCTTCTGTCCTGTGGACATTGGAGAGTTGACCCAAGCAAAAACGATCTCCTCCAGAAGGGTCCACGTATCCATCAACAGTAACAATAGGGCAGCTTGAAGGAACCTTAAATGTCTCTCCTACCTGAACATCCATTTCAAAGTAAGCAATGGAACACCAATACTCAGGAGCTATGGGAAATAAACAGAGGGAGCATTCAATCATGTGAGAAAGATATAAAGGTTTCACTTTCATTCCACGAGATCTTTTTTTTTTTCTAAAAGAGTAAAGGGAAGAGAGAAGGACATGAAAACCATCCTAAAGAACTGGATTAAGATCATACAAAACATTACAAAGTAGGAATTTCCATGTCTTCTATTTACCAGCTCAGTATCTAGCACAGTTCTTGAAACTTTTTTTTTTTTTTGGAGAGATGTTTGCTATAGGGCAAGTGTGCTCGCCAGAGAGAGATGGAAAGCGAGAAATCACCCCCCAGAGGGGATGGCATTGCCACAATCCCTTCTCCGCCATTCTTCTCTCAGGATCTTGGGCACACACGCACACGCGCCCAGTGTTAATTTAAGCCACCAGGTCCGGGACTCGAACCATGGTCAACTATATGGGAGTCTAGCAACATAGCCATTACGCCAACTGCTGGTCCCTTGAAACCCATTTTTTAAGTGTTTTTTGAAAAGTCATTTTTAAAATCTAATACTAGGTTCTTACTGCAAAATATCAAATCAACTGAGAATTTAAAAAAACATAAGTAATCAGAATCTAAAATAACTTATTTCACCATGATGTTTCTTTGTTAATTTTTTTAAATGTTTTTTTAGGTTTTTGCCATAGGGCACATGTGCTTGCCAGAGAGAGAGAGAGAGACAATGAGAGGAAAAGTGAGAAATCACCCCCCAGGAGAATGGCCACACTATAGTCCCTTCTCCTCCATCTTTCTGGGATTCTGGGCACACACACACAAGTGCCTGGCATGATTTCCAAGCCACCAGGTCCAGGACTCGAACCGCAATTGCTCATGTGAGAGTCCAGTGCCTTAACCACCATGCTACCTGCTGGCCTCACGATGGTTTCATTTGACTGCACATATTTCCTAGGTAGGCTGAACTTTAATTTTTTAAAAAAATACGATGACCATAAAACATATTCCAGAGAAGTGTTCTTGAATCATATCAATCCACGGCTCCCTAATTGAGAAGAAAGTGCATAATAAGCAAGACAACCATCCCAGCTCTGACAAGGTTAATTACACTGTAACTAAGCAGCTGTTGGACACAGGGACTCTCAATTGTCTCTTGAGTGAATGGTCATTTGTCCTATTTGTTTATATATGCACCATAGCAAGAGATATTTATAATGAACTCAGATCACGTTCATTATTACAACTGTGAAGATGTATGTAATGTGTTCATTTGTATAATACAAATTATTTTAAATAATTTTAAATGACTTGGGAAAAAGGAGGTACAACGTGCTTTGGTTTGTAAATACAATCAGTACATCTAGTTCTTCTTTGAATATGATTATTTTATCAAGTCCACATGCATAAATGTTACGTAGTTTTCCTTTTTAAACTCACTTAACAAGCATCTACAATAATGCAGATATCATTCTCGGTACTGCGTATCTACCTATAGTCCCTATTCTCACAGAGGTACAGGGACAGACAAAAAAGCAAATGAATGAGAACATCAGATAATAATAAACACTGTGCGGGAAATAAAACTGAGTATGGAACAGAAGATGACTGGGGATATTTCGGACTGGACGATGGGAATCATTCTGTTGGAAAGGGTGAAGCCTAAAACCTTCTATCTATGTGAAGACCATGACAGAACATTTCAGAGAGGAAAGTAAAAGTAGAGTCCTTAGAGTGGAAAAGAGCTTGACATATTTAAGAAGAAAAAAGGCCAGAGTTATTATTACAGAATGAAAGGAACAGTGTATTTTGTCTACAGATTTACCTGCATCTCAACATGTTATTTATGAACTTTGAACCAGAACTTGAAGCAATGAAGCTTTCAATAATCTGAAAAGGTACACAGAATGATCACACACTCCCCTAAAAAATCCTAAAATAGTGTATAACTGATGTTTAAAAATTTGTTAAATTATAAATGTATGTTACTACTTTTCAAAATGCTGTTAAGCAACCAAGTACTTTCTAATGATGAACTAACAAAACAGACCCACATGAAGATTGGGTGACTCAAACACTTCAAAATTCAAATGTTTTGCCATATATATTTCATCAACTCATCACAAATACAAAAAAAAAAATTTAGGAGGGTTTTGCAATGGGGGTGTGCACTTGCCAGAAAGAGATAGGGACAGAGATAGAGACAGTGAGAGAGAAAGTGAGAAATCATCCCCTAGAGAGGAATGGCCCTATCATAATCCCTTCTCCACTCCTTCTGGGATCTTGGGGACACATGCACACATGCCCAACATGATTTTCAAGGCTTCCTGGCAGGGACATGGGTCAGCTGTGTGGAAATCCAGCGAGGTAACCACTGTGCCATCTGCTGCCCCCCCCCACACACACAAAAACTGTTTAATACATTTGATTATAATTAGAACATAGAAACTAGTGATATACTAAGTATCTTCTTAAAAAGCAAGTTTTGAACTATTTATAAAGTTATTTTCTATGGTAAAATTCTTTATTGAAGAGACATCACATGCTATGGAAAAGAAGCTTCAAACAAATTGATAGATATGCTACAATTAAAATTAAAATTAGATATAAAGAGATTGTCTTAAAAAAGATAAGAAATACCCAATGTTTTGGCAGCAAAAAAAAGTAAGGGGACTTAAAAGGATCTGCTAAAGATCCTGACAGACTATGGGCTGGCCAGATGGCCTGCTTGTTAAGGTGGCTGGATCCCACATGGCTGACTCCATGGTCCAGTTTCAGCTCTGGCTGCTTGAGAAACACACCAAGAGCATGTGTCCCAAAGTCCTGAGAGGAGAATGGAAGAGAAAGGATTGCAGCATGGTCATCCTCTCGGGGGGGGGGGGGGGGGTGATTTCTCACTTTCCCCCTCTCTCTCTGTCTCTGTATGTTGGCACATACACCCTATAGTAAACTTATTTAAAAAAAAAAAAAAGGAACCTGATAGATTAAAGAATTGGAGGAAAAAGGATTGTGGCATGATCAAGCCTGTGGCGAGTTGATGCCTGTGGCGAGTTGCTTCCCTCTCACTTTATGCCTCCTTTGGCATTAAAAAAGTTAAAGCATGGAATCGTCACATATATATTTTACCCATGTGACACCTTTAATACAGAGATAATTATTTTCACTTTCTACAACTTATATTACCTTTTGTAGTTCCTAAAACAGTTAAGTAACAATCTTCAGAAATAATTTATGAAAATAATTTCACAAATTTTATTCACATAAAACCATCAGGGACATATGCAGTTTTTTTTTTTTAACAACAGAAATCCATTTTTATTCATTTACGTTTCATTAGTTTAAATCCTTGAGGGGTACAGCATCACACGGATTCTGTGTCCAATGGCCTTAGCAGGAAGGTTGCTTTGGAATTTGGCTCGAACCATGCCACTGTTTCCATGGGCATGGGTAACATTTCCCCAGATTACTCTGGTTTTGTTTGGTTTGCCACCAGGAGTCACTGTGTTGTTTTTTGCTTTGTACACATAAGTACATCTCTTGCCTAAATAGAATTCCGTTTCATCTTGTGCATAAACACCTTCAATTTTAAAAAGAGCTGTGTGCTTCCTTTGGTTCCTGAGACCCCGCTTATAGCCAGCAAAAATGGCCTTGGACCACAGCCCTCCAGACATAGTTGCCTTTTAGAAGTCCTGTTTCCAGCAGGCCTCCACAGGCTCCAAGATGGCGGAAAGAGCCATATACATAGTTCTTATTTAAATAGAACTCAAGTCTGTGAGAGACTATTTTAGCATTTCTTTTTTTTTGGAGAGGTATTTGCCATAGGTCGCATGCACTCGCCAGAAAGACAGAGAGACTGAGAGACAGAAAGTGAAAAGTCACTCCCCAGGGGGGATGGCCACACTGCAATCCCTTCTCCTCCATTTTCCTCTCCGGATCTTGGGCACGCACGCACATGCATCCAACATGAATTTAAGCCACCGGGTCCAGGACTCGAGCTGCAGTCGACTACATGGGAGTCTAGTTACATAGCCATTACGTCAACTGCTGGTCCCTATTTTAACATTTCTTTTTTTTTTTTTTGGAGAGGTTTTCACTATAGGGCGCATGCGCTCGCCAGACAGAGAGACATAGAGACAGAAAGCGAGAAATCAGCCCCCAGGGGGGATGGTCACACCACAATCCCTTCTCCTCCATTCTCCTCTCGGGATCGTGGGCACGCATGCACACATGCCCGGTGTGAGTTTTAAGCCACCGGGTCCGGGATGCGAACCACGGTCAACTATGTGGGAGTCCAGCGACATAGCCATTACACTAACTGTTGGTTCCCTATTTTAGCATTTCTTAATCAGACCACAAAGGGCTGCATTAACTATATGCCTATATTTGGCTTTTTGGGTTTTTTTCTATTCATTCATTAAACAAAGACATTAGACATACAAACTTGTAACTATAATTTAGTATGGATTAGAAAGTATGAGGTAGCAGGGAACAAGAGATTAGGAAAGGCTTCCCAATAGTGGTATGCTTAGGCTGGATCTTAAATGCTTACCATATTTAGAAGAGTCAGAGTGTGCAGTCCCCAGCGTTCGAGATGCCCCCAAATATCCTTGCTTCCTATTATTCACATCCTTGGGTAGCCCCCTCTCACAAAATTTGGGATCTCATAGAATGATATGACTTCTGAGGCTATGTCTTAAAACACCAGGGCTCTTAATTTTTTTTTTTTTTTTTTTTAATGTTTGTTTATTTTGCCACAGGGTACATGTACTTGCCAGAGAAGGAGACAATGAGAGGGAAAGTCAGACATCACCTGCCAGGGGGGATGGCCATGCCACAATCCCTTTTCTTCCATTCTCCTCCTGGGATTTTGTACACACACACACACACGTACCCTGTGTGATTGTCTTACTCCCAATCAGTAACTTGTTAGCTCTCATGCTGTGAAGACACTCAAGCAGCTTTATAGAGAAAGCCACATGGAAGAAAAATGGAGCATCTAACATTACCACCAACACACCAGGTATCTCAGTAACCCCC